TGAAGATTTCTAGCAACTTTTGTAGTCTGCATTCGTATCTTGATAAATAAAATTTGAATGTTGTTTGAGTAGCGCAGCGAATGAGAAAGCCTTTTTTGCTTCTCTATTTCAGATTGAAGAAGAACATAAGACATCCTTCAGTTGTAATACACACAGTATACGGTTGTTTGCTCAGGCCTCACTTCTCTGCAGCCCTCCTGCCACTCTGACCAGATGCTTCCGTGAGAGTTTGACTGGCAGAGGCTTGGGAACACTTGCTGACAAATGCCAGCAGTAGCCTGCGTGGTAGGCGGATGGATGAGCAACAGAGGAGGTCACAGCGTTAGAGAGCTGTCGGGCAGGTCCGCAGCCCTGCTGAACAGCCTCTGGGGCTCTGTTCACTCTATTTACTAGTTCTAGAACCATAACAAAGCTAGTCAATGTCGGGAAAACATTCCAGAGCTGTGGCAACATTGACTGCAGTGTGGTTGGAAAACAGAAGCAGCATACTTACTGAGCCGTAGAGCTTCCCCTTCTTGTTCATGGCTAAATAATAGTTACTGTTAATGGCTTTGACAGCAACCACTCCAATTTCCACTGATGTTATCTCCAGGATACCTAAAACAGAAGATTTTAAGACTGAGATTCAGGAGTCACGTTAACTACAGGGATCAGGAAGAAGCTACTTTAATTTTTGATGGTGCTAAAAGTAAAAGGATAAAAACACGAAGCGGGACATAGAAATCCCATTTTAGTGTGCTTCAACCCCCAACAAATATATGGAAATAAGTCATCAGACTTCAATAGAAACCTCCCGCCATCTCAGTCTGAGCATATATGGGAAAACATTGTTTTAATTAAAATGCTTCCTTTGCTAACTCTGCATTTTCAACCCCATAAATACTGAAACAAGTCTACTCATCTTAGCCTATATTTTTAAAAAAACCTTATCAAAGCACACATCTGAACCACGGTATTAAATTAAATCTATAGCACATGTCAATAATATGTCAGATTTACCTCAATCTGCAAAAACAGTGGTAAACGATTTCTTCTTTTCAAGGCACTTAGATAAACTAAATCTCTTTGCTACACTTAGCTGATAAATTCGTTTTTGGCAAATGTGTTGACATTCTGAGATACAGGAAGACTAACTAATCTCAGTATGTACATTGCACTTAAAAGAACAGAATCACTACTCTGAGTTGGGGGAAGAAAATCCATCAGCTTTGTTATTATTATTTTCTTAAAAGTCCTAGTAAACTCAGAAGAATTAGCAACTAATAGACAAGAGGCATTTTACCCTTGTATTTTTTTTTATTTTTATAGATTTTAACTGGTGCATTAAAAAAAAAAATCTCTTTTTCTCTGAAGGATTCATAGGAAGCTCCAGTGAAGACCCTGTAGGGTAAGGCGAGATTCAGGTCTGCTGTTCATAGACTTGCCAAGAGTTGTGGTTGACTAGAAGCCACCAGACACAAAAAAAAAGGAAAAAGAAAAAAAAAAAGAAGCCACCAGACAACAGGCAAAGAAAGGCACTTGATACCCCACTCAACGTGTTGACTCATTTTAGGGTAAAAGGTCTCAGGGAGAAAATGACTGCTTATTTTATAAGCTCACCCAAAGTAGAGAAACAAGGTCAGAGTTAGCTTGAACCTTTTGAAGTCAGAGTGTCTGGGTTTGAATTCTGGTTCTGAGATTTGTTGGTGAATGGCCACCTGAGAAGTCATCAGCTGTCCCATTGCTTAAGTTACAGTTGCTGTGTCAATTCAACTCATCAAGCATCTTCTTGTCCTTTGTTGACTCCTTATTTTTCCAGGCATGATGTTCTTTTCCAAGGACTAGTCCCCACGCTGCGGTCTTGTATATATAAAATGACTAGAATAGACTCGGAACTCAGAGCCTCCTTGATAATTATTACTAGAGGTAAATTTTCCCCTAAAAGTTTGAGAGCTTGGAAGTTGTCAGTGAGCAGCTCTGAGTCAAGAAAACTTTAGACCTCGGACCTTCTTCACAACTGTTGATCTATATCAGCTCATTGCTGTGTGAGTTATCACAAGTGAAAAACCATCACACGCAAAGTGACCGAGTGACAGAGTTCAGTCGTGATCAAGGCACCACCAAAGGCTCTGACTCCCAGGGTCACTAGTTTGATTTTGTATCAAATACCCTCATCTTCTCCATTTCTCCAAAGGGAATCTTGTTAGAAATCACATGGCAAAATAACACACCAAGACAATCATTTTTAAAAATTCAACGTGCTATTCTACTCAAGAATGTGGTAATTTCACAGAGGTTAGCCAGAGCCGGCAGGCCTGTTTTCAATTGTTTTTGGTCAAACATTCTTCCAGGTCGTATAGCCCTGTCTACTTGCTGTACAGAGTTAACTCGTGGTCGCTGTGATGCTGAACACAGTGACACTGAGGAGTCAAATGTGAGAATGGTCACCTATGGTGGACAGTATTTGGTGGAGCTCCCTGATTAAAACAAGCTTGGAAGCAGGAGTGGCATTCACTTCTGAAATAGTTTACCTTCGAAAACCCTACAAACCTGGAGAAAGGACAAATGTTATACAGTTTTCTAAGTCTTCAAAAGTTATACAAGTGTCCAGGTCTTTTCACTTAACAACAATGTCTACATCTCAGGGAGAGAAAATAGAATGCTCTTTACAAGTAGATGATGAAGAGCAGGACTTGGGGTACAAATCCAGGACAAAAGACCTAGGAAGCCGGCTGTTTATCTCACCTGCCTAAGAAACAAGTCAGTACCCTAAGTTATAGTACTATGTCCCATACTTTGTGCTTTGGAAGTTATGAGGATGAAGATGGATAAAGGATCACTTCAACAAAGCCTGTGATAGTGAATAAATAGTAGTAGTAGTAGTAGTAGAATGAAGTAATAGTAACAGACTGACCTGACAAATGGGAAAGCATGATAGAAACATTAACAAATCATCGGCTGATTTTTTCTAAATGTGCTGTATATCTGAGGACTCATACTTGGACTGGAATTAGCATATGACCAAGAACCATTGTCAATAAAGGGGGGGTGTGGGGATTCAGTTGCACTGAAGACATCGGCAAATAATAAGGCCCTGGAATTTGATGGGATACCAATTAAGTATTCTAACAAATAGATGAACCAAGCCCAGGACGTGCTCACCAGGTTGTGTCAAGAGACCTGGAAGACAGCTACTTAGCCAACTGGACAGAAAAGATCTCTATTTATTCCCAATCTCAAAAAAGGTGATCCAGGAGAATGTGGAAATTACTAAACAATATCATTAATATCAGATGCAATTAAAACCGTGCGGAAGATGATTCGTAAATGTCTAGAGCGGTACACTGACAGAGAACTGCTAGAAATGCAAGCAGGATTTAGAAGAGACATGGCACCAGCGCTATCATTGCTGATGTCAGATGAATCTTGGCAGAAAGCACCGAGTACAAGAAGAATGCCTACCTGATTTCATTGACTTTGCCAAGGCACTCGACTGGGTAGATCATAACAAGTTGTGGGTGACATTGAGAAGAATGGGAATCACAGGACACTTAATTGTGCTTATATGAAACCTCTACTTAGACCAACAAACTGTTGTATGAACAAAGCAAGCAGACCTTGGATGATTTAACATGAAGACAATGTGCAGAACAGATCATGGAGAACAAGAATGTGGCATTAGGTTCAGAAGAAGATTCCTCAACAACCTGTTTTATGCAGATGACACACTGTGCTTGCTGAAACAAGGTGGACCTGAGGCTGCAGATCAAAGACTACAGCCTTCAATATGGATTACATCTCAACAACATTAAAAAAAAAGTCCTTAGCACTGGGTTACTAGACAGCATCAGAGAGAGAAGAGATTGAAGTTGTTACTGTTTCCTCCTATTTGGATTCATAATCAATACCCTTGGTATGAACAGTCAAGACACCAAAAGATAGGGGGCTCGGGTAGTCTATTGGCAAGAAACTGCACTGTAATCCCAAAGGCAAGTGGTTCAAGTCTACTGGACGCTCTGCTGGAGAAGGAGGGACAACATCCTCCTGTGCCTGCTGGATCTGATTTGATGAGACACGAGAAAGTTATGGCCCACAAGCACATGAAGAAATGTTCAAAATCCCTAGCTCTGAGAGAGATGCAAATCAAGACAACCATGAGATATCATCTCACCCCAGTAAGACTAGCGAAATTTAACAGAACAGCAAGCAACAAATGCTGGCGAGGTTGTGGAGAGACTGGA